TGTGGGCTCCATCCCCAGTAGGGGGGGTGCGGGAGGCAGCTGATCAATGACTCTCTCATCATTGATGTTTCTCTCTCCCTCTCCCTTCCTCTTTCTGGAATCAATAAAGATATATATATATATAAAATGCTGACTGGCCAGAAGTAAAATTTAGCATTGGTTGGTGAATTATCTTCAAATGAAGAAATATTGGACTTAGCTGACCAGTCATGAGTATACTCATGTTTCTGTGTCCAAGCGTTGCTGACTGGTCATGGGTTAACTCCTGTCTGCACTTACATTAACTTAAGTAATTTTAAACATCTTGCTGAGCAAAGTAGCCAGCCGCTGGAAATAGCCGGTCAGCAAGGTATTAAGATCACCTTCTTCCTCTCTCATCGCTTAGGCAGGAAGAGTAAGCAGACAAAGGAGTTATGTAGACTGAGCACTTCATCAGGTTTGGAGGTTATAAGTTAATGAAAATTTTCAAATTTAATATTGAAATTCTGTCCAGAGCATTTTTCTAAATGTGATCAAATTACCAATATTCATTGTATTCAAAGTATAACTTGGTATGAATCCTTAAAATGAGTATAATAAATATGCTTCTATTTCTGGATAATTTATACACCTAATATATCAAAATTTGGCAACTTGCAAATGCTGCATATGAAACAGTGTTTACAGCCTTAAAATTGATGCAAAGAAATCTCGAAACTTGATTATCTGCAAACATGTTCACTTATTTTATTTTTAATTAATACTTGAGACCAGATAATGCAAACATACCTTAGTTTTTGGATTTTACTTTTTTAATTCTTTATTCTATGACATTTGTCAACTTAGCTAATATCCTACCAACCCATATTATATTTAAAACTCTGGGAAGCATTTATATCTGTGTGGCTTTTACCCTCTGTTCTCACACATTTTTCAAACATGACTTCACAGCTATTTTATTACTAGTGGCAGAATAAAGTTGTAGCTGGGCATAAAATTTGAGTATTTGTAACTTTTAAATATAAATCTTAATATTTATGAAACAATTTTTCTTCATTACTTTAAAAAAGTAATTTTAATACATATGAAAGAATATATGTAATTTATATATAACAGAATAATAAACATTTCTGAAATCACCACTAGATCTAGAAGTAGATTATTTTGTGTCTACCTACGTGTTTGTTTCTTATCGCATTTTTTTTTTTTTTTTGCTTACCCCTTCCACTGAGATAACTACATCTTTTCATGTGCTTCATTGTTTGGTCTATATGTTTTTTCACATATGCATGTATGGGCACCTAAAAATATAGACTTTAGTGAAACTAAGCACAATCAAGGTAGTGAGCATATCTATCACTCCTTAAAATTTCATCTTGACCCTTTGTAACCCCTCCCGCTCACCTCTTCCTGCCAGTTCCCCCCTTACCCCACCCCCATCCAATTCTCAGGCAACCACTGAATTGCTTTCTGTCAATATATGTTAGTGTGCATTTTCTAGAGTTTTATATAACTGTAAATATATAAGATGCACTCATTCTTGTCTGACTTCTTTCACTCGGCATAATTATTTTGAGATTCATCCATGCTGTCGGTATCAGTAGCTCCTTTTTATTACCGAGTAGTATTCTGTTGTATGGGTACACAACAATCTGTTTATTCATTCATCTGCCGATTGACATTTGGGTTGCTTCCAGATTTGACTTTTCATATGGACATATATGAAAACAAGAATGGCTGGATCATATAGTAGCTGTATGTTTAACTTTTTAAGGAACTGCCAGACTGATTTTCAAAGTGGTTGTAGCGTTTTCCATTCCCTTCGTCAGTGTATGAGGGTTCCAGTTCCTTCACGTTCCTGTGAGTGCTCGATATGCTCAGCCTTTTTAATTTTAGCCATTCTAATAAATATGTAGTGATAACTCATTGTGGTTTTAATTTTTCATCTCCTTAGAATTATGTTGTTTAATATCTTTTCATGGGCTTATTTGCCATCTATTATTTTCTCAGTGAAATATCTCTTCAAATCTTTTACCCATTTTTCTATTGGGTTGTTTGGTTTCCTGTTGTGTTTTGAGAGTTCTTTATATGCTCTAGAGACAAGTATTTCTAATTTTAAATCAGATATATGATTTGCGAAGGAACATAGCCTATACAAAGAGTTATATTCTCAAAATTTTGAAGTTATTATTCTAGTGTTGCCTGGCTTTCATTATTGTTATTGAGAAATCTGATTAGTTTTTTCTCTGACTGCTTTTAAGGTCTTTGCTTTGACATTGGTATTCTGCAATTTTATTATATGTCTAGTTCTAGGCATAGGCTTTTTATTTTAATTTATTTTATTGTTGAGAGTATTACAGATGTCCCCCATTTTCTCCCCTTTACTCCCCTCCCCCAGATCCCACCCCTCCCAAGTTCTTCCCCTGTCCATTGTCTGTGTCCATGGGCTGTGCATATGCTTCTAAGTCCTTTGGTTAACCTCTTCCTGCGCTCCTTCCCGCCTTCCCTCTTTTATTATCCTTAGTATAAGCTGTTACTTTCAGGGTATGTGCATTCGTATTTTAATAGGTTCTAAAAATTTTATATCTATTATTGCTTTAAATATAATTTGCTATTTATTCTATTTTCTCCCTGAAGACAGCTATTAGGAAAAAAGTGTGCCTTCTCATCTATCCTCTGTATATCTTGCCATTGCTTTCTTACTTTCCATTTCATTTTCTCTTGTGTTACATTCTGGGTAATTTCTTTGGGTATATTTTCTCATTCTGCTCTGTTTAGTCTGCTGGTACATCCATTGAATTTTAAACTTTAAATAATTACTTCTTTGCCAACATTTTATTAGGAAAGTTTTCAAGCAGCTAAGTTACAAGAATATTACACTGAACACCTGTGCACCTACTGCATAGATTCTGTCATTAGCATTTTATTATATTTGTTATATATCATATCAGTCTATCTTTCTAGACATCCATTAATCTATTTCTAAAGAATTATATTTCTAATTTTTAGAAATTGCATTTGTTTCCCCCATTCTGCCTGTTTATTCTTACTGGAGCCTTGTTATTTGCTTATCTTTGCAATTGTGAGCATCATTTCTTTAACACTTTACATAGTTCTATATTCTGTATGAGAAAATTCCAAAATCAACAATAAATGGTCATCTCAACCTAAAGTTGTTGATCCTGTTGAATTTCACCCATAGTGACAAGCCTTTTTAAAAATTTTTTAATTTTTGGTTTGTGATCTTTGATTGAGAGCTCATTTCTTGATTCTAATCTATGAGAATCCTTCAGCCTTAAGATTTCCTTTAGAAAATATTTTCTTTTGTTGCTGCCAGTAGCCAGTGGGGAGCCGCTGACATAGAATTACCTCAGCATCCCTTGAGTATCTTGGCTCAATGAGAAAGTTCAAGGGTTTGCTTCCTTGCTTCTACTTACTGATATAAGGTCCAATATGCTGATAGCAATTCTGTAATTGGTATCTGCCCTCAGAACAATCCCATCCTTTTCCTCCATTCACTACTGTTACTTCAGTCTCCTAGCTGTTCTGATCTCAGCTCAGGGTGTGTGTGTGTGTGTGTGTGTGTGTGTGTGTGTGTGTGTGTGTGTGTGTGAGAAAGATTTGTCCTGGAGACCTACCCCATCTGCTGCACCATCAATAATGCTTCAAAGCATGCATCCCATCCAATCCAGTGCCTAGTTAATCTGCAGAGCATTTATCCATAGTATCAGAAGCAGATGACCTCAAAAACACATTTCATGTTAAACGATTATGAAATTTAACTCTGTGGAATGATTTTTAATCTCATTCACATTGTAAACCTGAAGATGGATTTATGAAAGCATTCATTTTGGGGGTTATTTGGACTGATTTCTAACAGTGATTGTGCAATGTCTTTAAAAAAAAAACAATTAAAAATAATCTATTTATTTTATAGTTTTAATGCTTACAGAAAAGTTGTTAAGGTAGTACAGAGAGTTCCAGTGTATCCCCCCGTTTTCCCTATTGCATTTCAAATATATGAAATACCCTCACTGAAGGCAGTAGAAGAAAAAGGTGATGACTTGAAAATTAGTAGAGACTGTAAAACCAAAGACAAAGAAACTATATAAAACCATCCTACCTTTGTAATACAGTTAAATTCTCTTACTACATTCTGCATTTCATCTTGGAATTCCCTGACCTCTTAAACAGTTTCTAAAAAGTTGCCTACATCAAGATTTACTCTTTAAGCTGTAAAGTTCTGTGGGTTTTGACAAATGCTTCGTGCTAAGTGTTCACCTTTACAGTGTCATTTTCAACACCTCGTGTTTTACCTATTCAATCTTCCTCTCCGTCCCAGAACCTCTAGCAGTCACTGATTATTGTAGTCTTAGTTTTTTTCCCCTCTAAAATATTATAAAAATGGAACTATACAATGAAAAATATATCCTTTTAACTTAGCAATATGCATTTAAGACTCGTTCATGTTCTTGTAAGGCCTGATAGCTCATTGCTTCGAATTACTGAAGAATGTTCCATCATATGGATTTACTCTTTTGTTTATCCATTCAACAACTGAAAGCCACCTTGGTTGCTGCCAGTTTTTGCAGTTATGAATAAAGCTGTTGTAAGAATTCTCATGCAGGCAGGCAGAAATGCAATTTTCAGTATTTCCTCTATTTTTATTATTTTCCTTTGGGATACACATTTATGCACTTCTTTTCTTGACAATTGAAAAAAATTCTCATCCGAGGATATGTTTTCATTGATTTTTAGAAAGGGAGGGAGGGAGGGAGAGAGAGAGAGGGAAACATTGATGTGAGAGAGAAATATCCATTGGTGCCACCTGTGAGTGCACTGACCTGGAATTGAACCCACCACATTTTGATGCATAGGATGACCCTCCGACCAACTGAGCCACTTGGCCAGGGCTATGCACTTCTTTTAATCAGCAAGATTTTCCATATACACATGCATGCAGAAACTGTTTATGATGTGATACATGACATTTTGATTCTTTCCTTACATTTTCTTCACAGATATTCAAGAATTTTATGAGGTGACATTACTGAATTCTCAAAAAAGTTGTGAACAGAAGATAGAAGAAGCCAATCAAGTTGCACAGAAGTGGGAGAAGACATCCCTTCTTGCTCCATGCCATGGTAACCTTCAAAAGTCTGCAGAGGTATACCACTGAAACTTTTGAAAGAACTAAATAATGTTATCACTTATGCCAGTAAAGAAATAGTAATCATTATTAACAAATGGCAGCACTAATACTAGAAATGTAATTATACCTTACTGTTAAAGTTGTTCTGAACAAAAGGGTTATTGAGCCACATGCTAGCCAGGAAAGGAACCAGGTCCTGGGGCATGCAGTTAAACTGTCAGCAGCGGGGCTAGATGGAGAAGACAAACATGCCCACTGTCCTGGGGTTGATGGAACTCTTTTATACAATGAGTTTGGGGAAGAAAGGTGCCTGTTATTTTAACAGAATTTACATCTAAGCATGGAACAGATTGACGAATCTCAGAGGGAAGGCAGGAGGGTGTGTGTGGTTGGGAAAATGTGGGGAGATTAATCAAAGAATTTATATGCATATATGCATAACCCATGGACAAAGACAATAGTGTGGAGAAGGCCTGGGTAGGGGGTGAGGGCAGGGGCAGATGCCAGGTGGAGGGGATTAATGGGGGGAAAAAGGCGACATCTGTAATACTTTCAACAATAAAGATAAATTTAAAAAAATACAAAATATAAAATAAAATAAAATAAAAAAATTTTCATTGGTTATAAATAAGTGGGGTGGGTGGGAAAATGTGAAGCAGGGAACGTTCTGGGAAATGTAAATAGTCCACGAGGAAGACGTATTTGATGCTTCTGAATTGGTTGTGAGCGGTAATCCAGAATGTTCATGCATAAGCAAAATTCAGTGGTGTTTGGTGGTTGGCTGTGCTTTCTAGATAGCTACCTGCGTGTTGATTCAAAGTTTCAACATACATTCAGGACTATGAGCAGTCTTTTGTTGGTTTTGGTCTATGACTGTTAACTGATTAACTTCCCTTCACTTGTGCTCCTACCCTCTGGCCTAATGTAATTGAATTTAGGACATTTATTTTTCTTTTGTTACTGTATATATTATTTATCTATGAAAATACAGATTTTGCTAAAGATAAAATAGGGCATGAAAAAGACATGACTTCACATTAGACAAGTGAGTTCTGTTATGAATATTGTCACAATTTGAGTTGACTCAAATCTAAGTCATCTGGAATTTCAGGACGTGGTTCCAGGTGTACTGGGGGAAAGAGATGGATAGTGTAATTGAAGAGTGTGGCCTAAGCCTGTGATCTCCATAGCAGGACCATATACACTGGGGCATAAATAAAATGATCTATTGGGGTGTAGGAATAAAATAATAGATTCCATATTTCTATTTTTAAAACACATTCTTTATAATTTTTAATATTTGGATAATTTATGACATATACTATGTTAACATTTAAAAATAAATATAGAGTTATTAGAGTTGTATGCTCAAAAGGTTTTGCAGATAGGATAATGGGATCAAAAAGTTTGGAGACTACTGTTGAAACTAACAGTTACCAAAGAGTAATAAGGCAAGTTGAAGAGGCATGTCTCAGGTTAATTACTGAGGATTAATAGAGGCAGGGACAAATCAATGCTATTTTTAAGTGACAGCCTACTTTGAAGGCAGGAAGTAAGCAGTACCAGACACACACACACACACACACACACACACACACACACACACACACACACACACACACACACAACCTGTCAAGATTGGGGTTGTGTGGCTGACTTAGAAGCTATATGGAATCCTCATGCTAATCCTTAGCAGTTGGGTTGCTGAATCTTTGGATTGTGAAGACTGAGACCTGTGATACACTTTCTGTCCTGCTCAGAAGATTTGGAAACTGGGTAAGATCGAGTCTAATGATTATACTTGAAGAAAAGGTTAATAATGATGATAACGTGTTAATTAATAGATGCTAACTATGTGAAGTTTATGAATCTGGAAGTAATTATTTTTACTTTTTTAGTGTTCTTTTTTTTTCCTGTATGAATATTTATACATAAAATTGGGACAAAAGCATGTAAGGTATTCTTATGACTTTTAAATTTAATTCTACACTAATAGTATTTACCCATATCATGTCATTAAATAGTAATAAAAGTATCTTAATGGCTACATAATATTCTATAATTTGGAACGTACTTAAGCAATTCTCCATTCAATATTTAGGCTATCTCCAATTTCCTCTATGAATAATGCTGAAATGGATATCCATGCATATAAACCACTGTGTCTTTTCTGATTATTTTAGTAGGGTTGAATTTATAAACAAAACTACTGAGTGCAAGAATACTGACATTTTTTAAGGCTCTTGATACAAAATTGTCAGTGCTTTGCAAAAAGGTGCTTCCAGCAGTGTTTGAAAAGGCATATCTACATATACCCTTAGTAGAATTAATTATTTGTTAAAATCTGTTAAATTAATAAAGTTTGTTACTTAATGCTTTAGATTGTAATTATTTGTTTATTATTGAAACTGTTTTTATTATAATTACTGGATATGTATATATATTTGTGATTCACTTAAGCTTTTTTCTCTGTGGTGCTAGAATTCTTATTGTCTTGCAAGAGCATTTTATTTGTGAAATATGTTATCTTGTCATGACTTTTGCAATATTTTTCATTTGTTGATTGGTATTAATTTTGCTTATACAGTAGTGCTTTTTGACATTCAAAATATTTTTAATTTTTAGGTGATAAAATCTACCACCTTTTTCTCTTTCATATTTTCTTTGCTTTTTCTTCCCCATTCCAAGATTAGTTAACTTTTCGCCTATATATTTTTTCTAGACTCTTATTGCTTTGATATTTGCTCCTTTTGAATTTTTAAAAATTATTTTTTGTCCATTTCTAGATGAATAGTCCCACACATACACCTCATTTTGCATAAATGATCAAATATATACTTTTTATTGTCAATACAGTTCTTTTTGTTTAACTTTTCCATTTTTTGCTTATCTCCCCTTTCACTCACTTCCTGCTCACGCTGCATTAGCTCTACCCTCCCCACATACAAGATAACCCATCTCAACAACTTAATGTGTTTTATCTTTCTGCACTCATATAATTCTTATAATATGTAATCATATATAAACTATATACACGTATATGGGAAACATATATGTATCTTCATACGGGAGCCTGCATACATATATGTGCAGTCAGAATTGTGGAAAGGAATTGTTTCTGAAAAAATGTTCATGTTATATGAATGTCTTTCAGGTTGTCTGGTATAGCTTTGATGCGTTTTTCTGATGGATGTATACTTTCATACTGTGGGAATATCATAACTTATTCAATCATTCCCCTGTCGATAAGAATTTACTGTTTCCAGTTTTCTGCCATTATGAATGCTGCAGTCTGACGATTGCATGTACATCCTAATTTATGGATGCTTTTATTCTATAGGATGTATTCTCAGGGGTGTAATTATTGGCTCCAAGGGCATGTATACTTAATGTGAATAAGTGTTGCCAGACTTATTTCACCTTTCCCATCTCCACTGACAAGGCATGCTGGTGCAATTTTACTTTACATCCATCCCATCAATAGGTGTTGCTGCTCTTCTTAAGTGTTGCCAGGACTTTTAATTGGTTTATGAACAGATGCCAGCAATATAAGGATGAATGACGAAAAAAAATCCACATAGGGTTTTAGCCATTTATTTTTCAATGTCAAAATCAGGATAGGCAAGACAGAGTTAATGTAGATTTTCCTAAATGTGATTTTAAAGGTTTTAAAAAACTCTATTTTATGCATCTTAAAATCTTGTTTAGGAAGTCCTCAGCCTATGGTGATTCGAACATTGACCAGTTATATCCAAAACATCAGAGCATGAATGTGCACTAACTCCAATTATTGTGCTTCTGAAGGGAGTCTGATTGCTTTTCCTTGATGGGCTACATGAGGCAAAGAGCCAGGTCTGGCTGGTCTTTGTTATTGAAGATGAAGGTGAGCACAGGGAAAAGTAGCTTTTATTTGGGGGTCTCAGGGTACTGAGCTAAGATAACTGAGGATTTTGTCCTGCAGGGGTTGGCTTTCCAAAGTCAACATTTTAAACTTGAGTCCAAATTTGCTAAAATGGTCTATATGAAGAACAGTAATTGAGAAATGGTGTCAAAATGAAGTTCATAACCAGAAAAGCTTAGAATAGCAACAACAGCATGGGTAGATTCTAATGATTTATTGCAAATGCTTGTTATGTTTTTTTAATTCTCACCTTGTGTCTCTTCCTTTGAACAATCTGAGTTTATTTAAAGCAGCCGGGAAGGACATGTAAGCTCTTTAAGGGCAGCAATCGTAGATCTCCCTTATCTCTGATTCCTTGGCCCCATCAAATTGTTTGTCACAGTGGGCTCAATAAATATACGTTGAACAAAAAAGAAGGCCCTCTAAGCATCCTCTGGTTTCCAAGTTCGTTCTGGCCATTGGACTCCTTGCCTATTCCAATATGTATCTCTTTTTTCGGTTGTTTTAGCTGGATATCCCCAGGATGCAGATTTAAATGGAGAAGCAACTGGTGTGCCTCAGTTGATCAAAGCTGGCAAAGGAAGTTATGGATAATATCCTCTGAAGCAATAAGAATGATATTCTTATGCAACTGCTACATTAGCTCTAGAAACAGAAGTTTCAAAAACACTTAAGGCAATGGATGCACCAGTGGGATATTACTTTCTGGTAGGTTATATATGTGCTGGTGCATTTATTTTAAAAAGGGTTTTTTAGACATCCATAGCTTTTAAAAATCTTTGATAATGCAGGAGAGTGCAAAAGGAAGTATCCTCTTACAACTGCAGCTTACTCGTATGATTAATTGATTGAAATGATTTCATTTTATGAATCTGGGTTTTAACTTAGTGTTCTGTATTTTTTTGTTAGTAGAGTCAATTCAAACTTTTGACCTATTTTGGCAATGTAAAGACAAAACCTGATAGCATAAGAATGAAAAGTTCAGCTCAAATAACCATTAGATTGGGTGTTTTCAGGACATCTAGCCATCAAATGGCTTCTGGCCGCAAGATGTCAGTGATATTTTAATGCCAAGGAGGTGTCTGCCACCCCCAGTAGGAGGCTCCACAAGGAA